TCCTGAATCGCCTTTTAACTGTAGCAGTAGTGCATTTGATACTGATAGTAAAACAACAACAACAAAAATGTTGCTTGAAAGGGCGTGTTACGTTTATGAACAACGTGACCCTGGGCACGGTTAGAGGCTGTAAGGTCAGTGCTGGTCTGCCCGGTCGTGTTGGGTTCCACCCCACAAGAGCGCTGTGATCAAACTACTTGTGATGCACGACCTCAGTTTCCAAATGGAATTATTGTCCTCACAGTAGCTGGCCGTACGTCAGGTCCTATACGCTTATACATGAGATTAATTGTATTATGAAGGTACTACTAATTTGTAATACTGATGGCTTCATATTTAACCACGCGTTCTTTGCACGAACTACCTGAAATGAAGGTATTATTTTGAAGCTGCATACATTTGCTCGCATGTTATACCTCTGTCACAACTGACCGGATTTCGATCAAATTTTGTGTTGGGAGTTTGACACCAATAAAGGTCTGTGATGAAATTGACGTTGGGAAGTGAACTCTGTTGTCGTGAATTTGATTTTACTGATTCCGCAGAGTACTAAAGGATTTACTTCAGTCTTTAGAGCAGTGGTATTCAACCTTTTGGTTCACGTACCCCCAGATATAATTTCTCTTCAACTTTGTACCCCCAAAGATGTTGGTGTATAATTCAAGTTATACATAGTATATAATCTACTATTTTTATTATTTAGTGTTCTGTCTGACGACAGGTCCATATGAACAGGATCCTTCCATCCTTCTCTCGGACTGGGACCTGTTCATATACGTTCTTGGCAGATGATCCAGAAGTGGTTTGCCATTGCCTTCTTCTGTGTGTGAATGGACTAATTGTTGGGATGCCACAGAGAAACCGGAGAAGCCCCCGGAGGAAAACTCCGTGTTGCCCAGACCACGGCCTTGCCCAACACAAGTTATAAATTCGGGCACCGCCGGGAATCGAACCCGAGACTCCAGGATTACAAGGCCAGCGTTTTAACTGCTAGACCACCGTGGCTATATAATCTAAATCTAAAATAAATTAAATTAACTATATTACTGATTAATCATAAAAAATATATTTTTTTAAATTTCACATACCCCTTAAGATGTCTTTGCGTACCCCCGGTTGAAAACCACTGCTTTAGAATGACGAATTTCGATATAATGAGGTTACTGCATTCTTATGCTTCTGATAATGAATAAATACTACAAATAAAATTAAGGAATCCCAGAATTTATTTGCGTGATAAAATTATGGCGTCTGTATTCCCTGTTCAGAGTCAAACGAATCGAAAAACCGTCCCTTGTGACAAATGCGGGCTCGGCAATCGTGTAAAAATATTTTCTTTCCGAAACGAATGATTTTGAGATGTTTTTAGTTCATAAATCTGTCACCTCTATAAAAGGAACAAGTGTTGCAGTGACGCTGAGATAGCGAAGGACAGCTTGTCAATAACTGAAAAACACCTTGCATGGGGAGAAAATTCAGCATAATATCAAACGTCCTCTATTCAAAAAAGAGAAGTTTTCTGCTCGATTTCCCGCGAATCCTGTTATCTGATTCAGTGTACAACAGTAAACCATATAAAACAGAATAACTTGTATTCTCACACCTGGTCCTAATGTGAGGTAGTCTCACGAAGGAAACTCAGATTGATATCGGCACCTAGACCCTCTGCATTCGCTCTTTCGCTTTGTTAATTTCCTCTGAACCCAAACTCTTTGTCCGTGTTTCTTACTTCAGTAACAAAGGAATGCGTACTCGTTAAATGTCATTGTCTCCTATAACCTATTTGTCGAATGGCCCGGGGGCTGAGAAGCGATGACAATTAGAATTTATTCGTACTTGAAAAATTTGAAACACTCGTAAGAAGTTGGTAGGATCTGAGGTTCGCACGGCGGTGAGTACGAAGATGGCTGTCTTCTGGGTTGTAGCACAGTGCAGCCTGGTAAAAGTTTACCGACGTCTCACAGGTACTTGCTGCCTCCATCGTCAGGTGGATGGTCTACTAGACTACACGGCGCTAAGGCCCAGAAGACAGCCGTCTACCTGTAAGTATTTATTTCGTGTGTTACTAACTTACAGTTACAGATAGTATTGGATCAAAGATGTTAGCCGTTCGTTCTGAATGAATTTCGAGTTTTCCTGAAATCGAGAGGTTGTCAGTATACAAAGGTAAACGTAGAAACTTAATAATGTGTCTGCTAAAAGCTGTTTCCTCATATTCAGTGTTAAAAGTGTAGCCCCTAGCTCTTAGGCAATACATATTACGTGAGCAGTAGATGGTTGTTTTGCTGTTGGGCAGAATCGTGGCCCTTCAACCTCCTCTCGTTCCGTTTTTATCTCACACTTCCTTGCAGCATAAATTTCGTTTTTAATGAGTTACTACCTCAAAATTAGGTGCGTGGTTAATTTTCAAAGAAAAATTCGTCCAATTCTCATGCAACAATTTTTATCTGAATTTCCATAACTTGGGGTTGGTAGATCTTAAAATATTCTCTCATACGTTCGTGGATATTCTATGGAACACACTTTAAGCGATCAATCATAAGTTCGTTTTTGGTAGTGGCGCCGAAACCGATTGAGTTGAGTAAGTAAGGAGATTTTATTGAAAATGGCGGAGTACCAAGCAT